AGAGAGAGAGAGAGAGAGAGAGAGAGAGAGAGAGAGAGAGAGAGAGAGAGAGAGAGAGAGAGAGGATGGGGAGTGGCTCGTGCTTGCACATCGAAATTAACGCCAGCTCACCTTTTTGAGTCTTTTTGCAAGTAGCACACTGTGAGTGGCACTATGCCCTCACACTGTGCAGCGTGCCTGACTGGCAGCGACGGCAGCTTGGCCTCTGCCTTTTGTCATCATCCTTTCATCCTGCCCTCGATCCTTCCTTTTCGACCCCACTTTTGGCCTCAACCACTCTAGGGGTTTGAGTGTACAAGTATAGAAACCAGATAACCAGTTCCACTAAGGATCTTACAAAGATTCCCATCACTTGGACTCTTAGATCCATGGTCAGGCTTTGATTGGCAATCAACAAACATATGCCCGCACCTCAGAGAAAAGAGTGCCTACCTTGCTTTCAGAGCACAGAGATTGGATTATCCGAGTCGCCTTTTGCAGTTCTCGAACCTGTGAAATGGCACAATGTCACACATGCATGGACAGTATTTTCAATCGGCAAAAGAAAAGAGTTCGAAAAAGATCTTAAAACTTGGGAGTATCCGCATGATGGGGGATCAGATATGGAGGGGAGAGTATTGGATGTCAAGGAATGTCGTGAAGTTTTTGAATTGCAGCCAAGGACGGGCTGAAACATGCTTGCTCTTGTGCTGGCTGTTCATGACGAGCAATGTTCCAAAGTAAAGACCATGTGTTTGTGCATATACGTGAATGCAAATGTTGTATTCAGTACTCAAAAGCTTAAAGATATGGGTGTAAGAAGTACTAAGAAGTGGTTTCATCACACTACCACAGACTTACAAGGGGGTCGAACATCGACATTTCCTCCAGACACATTGGTCACACCAAGTCATCCTACGGTCTTCACCCAAATAGAACGCCCGGTCATTACTGCTGCATCTCGACTGAAAAACACCCCAAATACAGCGATAATGACCGGGCAGCAGGGTTGCATACCCGCCGACCGCCTACCTCGACCGCCGACCGTATTGCACCCGACCAGGAGGCCCACCGGTTGGCGGTCTGCCGACCAGTCAGAAAACAGCCATCCACTTTTTTTTTTTCAAATCTGAGTTGGGGGCTGTACTGCGCTTGCTGAGTACAGCCCAAATCTGCTGAGAGACTTTTGGGGATGAGGGGGGCCANACAGGGATATAGGGGTATGAGGGTGTTGGGGAACGGTTTGGGATGTTGGGGGGGTGTATGGGGGTATTGGGGGCGGGTATGGGGTTGTTGGTGGGGTTATTAGGGGTTCTGGACCCAAAAAAAAGATAAAAAAATAAAAAAATTGCGGGGTGCCGACGACCCCCAACCGGTAGGTGCCAATGACCCCCGACAGGTACATGCCGACCAGCCAACCGGTCGGCTGGTCGGCATCCGAGCAGTCAAGGGCCACCAACTGTCGGGGTATGCAACACTGCCGGGCGTTATATTTGGGTGAAGACAGTAGTTCAGCAATACCCTTGAGAGAAACTGGTTGCCAGTGGTTGGCTTCACTCCACTAATCCTGCATGTCCATGCTCACACCGACTCACCCTACCATCTTTACCTGAAGAGAACGGCCCATCATTAAAGTTGTACCGGGACTGAAAGGTGCCCCAAATGCAGTTATAATGACCGGGGCGTTCTATTCGGGTGAAGACGGTAGGTCAGCAATACCGTTGAGAGAAAATGGTTGGCTTCACTCCGTTGCATGTCCATACCGTGCATGCATTGTCAAGTTGTGCATATTTGCGCCTGGGCACATTTCCTCTACCACCATGAAACCCTGATAAGTAATTCCTCAGAACCAATTGACGCAGCATGAGGTGATTGGTGAAAAAAACAACTGTTGCACACATGGGGGCACACGGCCTGATCGGCAAATGGCCAGAGACTCAGAGTGACACAAATTGTGATCATGACCTGAGGAGAGACATGCTACACTAGGATATGGCCACATGAACAATTCGTGCGAGCCAAATAGCATGCTTCGGACTGTCGCTCCCAAGAAAGGGCACGGAGCCAGAACTGTAAGGTTCTGTTTTTTTTTTTTTTTTTTTTTTTTTTTTTTTTTTTTTCCAGAGCATGCTCAAAAGTACGACCTGCAAAGTAGATGATGAATGTCAACAAATAGATGACTCAGTGTAATGTGCGAGAATGGCCTAGTGACAATGCAAGCACTGGGATGCAATAAATCGCAGTTTCCCAGTGGGGCTTTGTACTTTGTTTTCTTGATTTGAGTTTGGCGGGACTTTATACCGTGAAACTTGTATGTTTTGTTTGTTAGTTTTGAGCCCTATGGGACTTGATCCCTAAGTCTGTCAGTACTAGTCTCTGTTCGGTAGCCTTAGGCCATTCGGCCTTTTCCTTTTGCCTTGTCATAGGTCTAGGTCCCCTTTTCCCCCTGTTTCCATCTAGATGCAGATGAGTATTGGGTTGTTGCCTTTGGAGTCCGTGGTAGGTCTAGGCAGAGGCTAGAAGTAGCAGGCAGGAAATTTGGTTTGGGTCTTTTCACGTTTTTGTTGGCTGCGGAAACTCTGCCCGTCCGTTGTTGGAGCGCTGCTGCTCTATTTTGGGCGAGGTCATCTTCTTCCTCGAAGCCCAGCCATAGCTGGGGTTGGGAAACGAAGTTGAAGATCGCACTGCTGCTATTTCACAGCTCTGCATGAGAGCTTCCACAGGACTGTGTTGTTGGGTTTGGGTGCTGCCATCTTCCACTTGGCAGCCATATCTGCAGTTCCTCCTCTCGAGGAACTTTGTCTTCTTCAAAGTGCTGGATCGGTTGTCTCCTTCTTCATCAGGACTTCCAGCGCTGCACTTCCGTGCCGGTGCTGAGCTGGCACTGTTATCATTAGGGTTGCTGGTTGAGATTTGCACGTTGTGACAGCTGTGGGGTTACTGCTGCTACGGCAGCCATAGCCAGGGGTATGAGGTGGCGAGGAGGAAGAAGAAGACTCCTGCATACTTCGTTGAACACTTGTTTCTGGTTGTTCGGGGTTGTTGTAAACGCGGTTGTCATTCTTGGAACAAGTACTCTGGATTAATTGGAGGAGGATGAGGGATTGCAAAATTGAAATTCGTTTTTCAATTCTCCTGCTGTGCATATTCTCTCTCCGGTTTTGTCTGGATTTGCCTCCTCCGAGTCTACTCTGTAATTGCATGCGTGTATGGGAACGTGTGAATTCGTTGTGGATGGAAGTTCAATCGGGTACATAACTTTTGGTATCATAACAGGGAAGTGACATGCCATACAAGCACTACCTCTCAGACGTTTCAGAGACTGCAACTGATTTGCTGCATGGGTGCCAACCATTGACGAGTCGATGAGAGCAAATTGATGCATTATGAATGAAGACTAATCAGTTAGATCCTAACAAAACTACCATCTTCACTCGAAGAGAACGCCTGGTCATTATCCCTGCATCTGGATGGGAAGTAATGCCAAATACGGCTATAATGACCGGGCATTGTATTCGGGTGAAGACGGGAGGCAGCAAGCATGCAACGGGCTTATCAATTCCCTCCCTTTTTCCACCTCCTCTTCAAATGGCTTATGCACTTTTGCACTTATCTGCTTTGATAGCGCATTCACACCACACCAGGACTACCACCCACTATAGTCCCACCTACATCCTCGTTGCTGCCACCAATGACGCCTTCACAGGAGTCAGAACGACAATGTCTGGCTCCTGTCCATTCTGGGGAGCGTCAGTCCAGTTCCTTTTTTTTTTTTTTATTTATTAAAAAACAGAACCTCACGGTTCTGGCTCCTACCATTCTGGGGAGCGACAGTCAGGTTGCTATTCCCCCGGCAAGTCAATATGGAATACATAAAAGACTCACACACGCTCCTTCCCATTATGGCTGAGAGGCCCGAGTGGGCGGCATTGATTACTTCCCTAAGGAAGGATATACCACCTCTCACCCCTGCCTAATCTAGCCTGTACTAACTCTGCCCGCCTATCTGTCTGATCCCAGATCTTCTCCTCTCAGCTATAAAGCTGTCTGATAGCTATGATTATGCAAGAGCATTCTGGAACACTTATGCGCCTTTTGAAACCTCTATAACTCTCCAACAGCCTTTGCCTTGTTTTTGTCTAAGCCATAATCCCTAGGCCCTCGGTCTTAATGCTGTCCTGATCGTCCAGATCGAAATTACCTCTCCTATACCCCAAAAACTCTCCCTGTTTTCACCCAAATATGACCCTTAACCCCTAAACCCTTCCTTCTACTCCTAACCCTGAACCCCTTCCTTTTAAACCCTAAACCCTACCTTCCAGTACTTGGGTTCCTTTCCCCCTTTCGCTCTTCCCTGAAGTTCTATGTCCAGTTAGGAAATACCTCTCCTATGCCCCAAAAGTTCTCCCTGTTTTCACCCAACTCTGACCCTTAACCCCTAAGCCCTCCTTGTACTCTTAACCCTGAACCCCTTTCTTTTAAACCCTAAACCCTACCTTTCAGTACTTGAGTTCTGTTCCCTCTTTCGCTTTTCCCTATAGTTCCATGATTAGCGCCCTTCCCCTCTCCATTTGAAGATCAAATGTGCTCCTTGGATTGATGCTACTGCTCCATCCCCGAGTACCTTTTGCTTAAAGCGTTTCAATATTTCTTCCTCTTGTGCCGGCTGCTGGCGTACCTGGTTCCTCACCGCTTTCCACAGGGCCTTAAGGTGTGTTTCGATGAGTGATAGGAAGATTTCCTTAGCCTCTTGTCTATGCATTGTTGTGCCCTCTATCGTGATTTGACATCGACGCTTCCAAATGGTGAAATCCTTGAGTTTGGAAGCGCACTCCCTGTTACATGTCTCCAAGTGTCTTTGGCCACCTCCCACAACCTTTGCGCCTCTTCACACTCTATCAGGCAATGTTGCATTGTTTCCGGAATTCGTCCCTGGCAAACCCTACACAACTCCTGATCCTCACTTCGCTGCCCTCTATTTCTTCGTTGATTGAGCCAAACATTCACTGGGAGTGCTACATGGGCTATAAGCCATTGCATACTCCATACTGACCCCAGCCGTATCGCCCCCAATTTTGACCAAGGGAAGGATGACAACTGTCCCCGTACCACCCCTACCCTCTTCTCCCATCTCTTTAGTAACGTGGGAGTAATAGGGCAGGAACGTCTTCTCAATTTATAGTAATTTTATACCCTATTTTTGTGGTGTAATGTAGAATTTTACTCTTCTAGATATTCCCCTTCGACCACTTCTAATGTTCCACGCCCATTCCGCTGGATCCACTTCTAGCTCTGCTATTGGTACAGTTGGATTATATAATGTGAATGTCTCTGCCTCAACCACTCTCACTTTCCTCACATACTGCTTGAGGATATAAATCGGTGTTTTTGTTGCGCTGTCTAGTTGGGACGTGGTGATGTATGGCTGGGGTATGTCATATTTATCTGCAATTAACCAGTCTGGTCTGGAAGGCTCTAGCCCCCATATTCTGAAGACCTCCTTAGGTTCC